ATTATACTTCTGTTTAGCAGATTCTTCTTCTTAGGGCAGGTTTCTGAGCTGTATTATCCACAGGTCTACAGGTTCATTTTATTGATTGAATTTGGTACCCGGTTCTTAATTTGTAGCAATTTGTGCCACTCTCTCTAGCAAGTTTCAGCCCTGGGCTTTTGTGCTAACCTTCTACCACAGACTTCCTCCATAGCCCCAGCCGTTTGGCTCACCAACATCTACCTCCTGTGCTCCCGCACTGTGGCCACACTGTAGTCTATATAGCCTTTCTCCCTCTTCCAGTTCAAACAGTCAATAGGGAGTTAGGTATAAGTTAGTGGTTAGCATTAGGGAGATACCTGCTGTCCTAAATAACTGAGCTGTCAGTGCTGTTGATCTTGCTGGAAACCTGCTACCCTTTAGGTCTGAGGGCCTCCCAGACCTATCTTGGGTGGAATCATCAGGGTACTATGTTGATACTGTCTTCCCTGGGGGACCAGTATAATACTCTGTCTGAAATGATTTTGCTCCCAGCTTAGCACATGCACAGCTCACTGCTGTCCCTCTAGCCCCACAGCCTTTATCACACTACACAAAATACCTGACGTGGCACTGGTGGAGTTCTGAGTTTGGTGGCCATTAAGTCTCCTGGCCACCCAGATCTGTTTTGGGTAGAGCTTGTATAATGCCTCATCAGAACTGTTTTCTCTGGGGGACCAGTGTAGTGCACTGAGCTGGAATTGATTTGCTCCTCGTCTAGCACATGCACAGCTTACTGTTGCTTGTCTTGTCCCACAACCTTTGTCACACTACACAAAATGGCACCTGGAGTAGTGCTGGTGGAGTTCTGGGTCTGCCGGCCATTAGACTTGGAGGCCATGCTGATCAATCTTGTATGGAACCTGCAAGATGCAAAGTTGGTACTGCTTTCGCTGTGTGATCAGTGCGATATGCTGAGCCAGAAGCAAGCCTTCTCCTGGCTATCCCTCCAGTCTCACAGTTTTTGCCCCACTACATAAAATGGTGCATATTGCAGCACTAGTGGGGATCTGGGCCATGAGATCCACCCTGTTCCTACACCACCCTTTGGAATCTGCTGCTCTTTTTCTGTTCATGGTTGAGTCAGTCAAGCCAGTAAGATGCATAGCTATTTGCCTATGTTCACCTCCTGAGCTCTGCTGCTGCCGCTGGAGCTCTGGCTGCCAGTGGAATTCAGACTACCGCTTGCCAACTGCTGCTGTGTTATCTGGTCACTACAACTGTCGCTGCTGCTTCCCTACATTCAAGGGTCTCTAGGCACTCTTCTGTCATTGACCTGTCCTTTATCTCTTCTTAGAATCTGCCCTTTGTGCTTAACCCTGGCTAATAATTCCCCATCAGAGTTAACCTGTCTGTACTCTATACCACCATCTTGCCTGCCCAAGTCCTATGGCTTTCAACAACCTATATACTAATGAATCCCAGCATTCATGTCTGTGTTTAATGTTTTGTCTGAGTTGTCGTCTCAGTCTCAAACCTGCCTGAGCTCACAGTGCCAAAATATACTCCTTGGGCTTTGCCTCCAGGCCTGTTTCTCAAGCTTTCTCACAACAGTAAACAATCACCGTCTGACTACGATGTCAGACAGTGTCCTACATGCTTTACAAATATCGACTCACTGACTGTTCATGCCATCAAAGAAGTAGCAACAGCCCCTTACCTTACTGAGGCAGCAGGGCATAGGTTGCACCACAGGCACCCCAGTCCACAGCTCATGAGCTTAAGCACAATGCCAGACTATCATGGTAGACAGCACCAACAATAATCCATTAGACCAAGTCAAAGACCTAAGAGGCACATGTGGTCCCTATTCCACCTCCAATTAAAAATAACCACTCGGAAGTCCTGTTGGCCCAAGCTCCAAATTCTGTCTTCCCACCCCTATCCATGACTCTCCCTTGTGTCACCATCTGCCAGAATCAGTGCGGTACCATGTGGCTGCAGTAACAAATCACAAATGATTTTCCAGTTTCCACTTATGCCCTCCACAAAGTACGCAGGTTGGTCTGTTTATAAAGTGTGGCAGAACGGGTCATTTCCTGATTCAAACCCTTCCATGGCATTCCAAGAAAATCTCTACTTTTTTCTATGGTTGGCAGGCCACAGAAGCTCCCAACTCATTTCCTCTCATTTCATTCCAGAAATGGCCTTGGGCCCCTCAACCTGCAAAACAAATTCAGTACCTTTATGGAAATGTTTCCCCAGCTTCAAGGCTCTCCCCAGGGTCATCAGAAGACAACTTCCTTGACATTCATGTCTGAGCTCAGAATTAACCTCCTGGGATTCACACCAAGCATCACCCATGCTCATCTCCCTGTCACTCACTAGCATATCTCCAAGTGCTATTTCCATTACAGCACTTCTTGGCATCTCTTCTCATGTTTAGTTCATTGCTTGCTTCCCTCTCTTCCTATTGCACAATCAGTGGAACCTTGCTCCATTTGTGTTGGAACCCAATATCCCTAGGTCTTTGGATCAGACTCCAGGAACAATACCTCATTATTGTTGGATAAATGAACAATAGTGGCCTTTTCAATGACCTTGTCCTGCAAGAGCATCAAGATAACACTTTTAACAGATGCCACAGCTCAACCCCTCCACTCCTCTGCCTCCTCTGACCAGAAGCCCTCCTTCAGCAGAAAACACCTTCTCTCAGGTCTGGGGCCTTCCCCAGGCTATGTATCCCACAGGGGGCTCCTCCCACACATTCTAGAGGGCTCTGCTGAAACCTTGGCAAACCTTCCCCATCCAAGCTGCCCCTCTTGCTTTCCATTCCCACAATACCCTGCAATGGCCATCACTTCATCTTTCTCTCAACTTATAAAAAATGGAACCAAAACAAAGCTCAATTTTTCTGACTAGAGCATAAACTCTGCCACCCCAGGGAATAAATCTGCTTTCTGTATCTGATCAAAAGTTGTTATAAAGCCGACTGCCTGGTTATAAAATCAATGTGTTTTTCAAATATGGGAGAATGCAAACCACATATTCTCCCTTGTGAAAAAACCCTAGGAGTCTTTCTTGAATTTGCCTGTTGTAATCCCTCATCCCAGGACAAATGGGAACCTCTTCCCTTCCCTGCTATTCCTCTGCCTCTGCAGTTTTAGAATCAGGGCAAACTTGACACACTCTCTGTTCCATATTCCCTGCTCTTCCTCCAACCTCATTCCTTTCACTCCCATTCAGCAGAAGACTTGCTCTGCTCTCCACAGAGTTAGCTTGATCCTGCAGCGTGATTGGGGCAGGCCAAGCAGAGAGATACATCCTGTCTCTTACACCCCAGATGGAAGTTTATTGTGATAAGAAATTTCAGACATGAATTCAATGCAGAAATGGCCAGGTTCATGGAACTGGAGCCAGTTTGTCCTCTTCCATGATCAGAAATTGGTATTGGCCATCAAAGTTATTGGACATGGGCCCGATGGTGTGTCCTAGTTCAGTGGCTAAAGTCCTCGCCTTGAACGCACTGGGATCCCATATGGATATCGGTTCTAATCCCAGCAGCTCCACTTCCCATCCAGCTCCCTGTTTGTGGACTGGGAAAGCAGTTGGGGACAGCACAAGATCCTGCACCTGTGTGGGAGACCTGGAAGAAGTTCCTGGCTTCGGATTGGCACAGCACTGGCCATTGCATTCACTTGGGGAGTGAATCATCAGACTGAAGATCTTTCTCTCTGTCTCTCCTCCTCTCTGTATATCTGACTTTCCAATAAAAATAAAATCAATCTTTAAAAAAAGGTCCAAACTTATGACAGATAAGCTTATTCATCATTATTATGAATTTTAATAACATATTAATAATTAAAAATTCTACTTACTAAAATATATTACCAAAAAAATTCTTTCCCTGAGATTGTTCCAAAGATATATTTGAAACTGACACATATTAGTGCATGATGTAAACCCAGCTTTAAATACCCCTTAGAGTTGTCAAGATAAAAAAATGCAACCTGGGACCAATTCTGTGGAGTAGCAGGCAAAGCTGCCACCTGCACTTCCAGCATCTCATATAGGCAATGGTTTGAGACCTAGTTGGTCCACTTCCAAAGTAGCAGCCTGCTATGGCCTGTGAAAAGCACAAGATACCCCTTGTACTTGGATCCTTGTCACTCATGTGGGAGACCCAGGTGAAGTTCCTGCCTCCTGGGTTCAGCCTGAGTTTTGGCCTGTTGTTGCCACTTCGGAAGTAAACCAGTAGAAGGACGATGCCTCTCTGTCTCTCCCTTTCTCTTAGTAATTCTGGAAGATTTACAGAGAGATGGGGAGCTAAGCTGATCCAAAGCCAGAAGCCAGAAACCAGGAATTTCTTTTGGCTCTTCAATGCAGGTGCAGGGTCCCAAGGCTTTGGGTCATCTTTTACCTGCTTTCCCTGGCTACAGGCAGGGCTCTGACTGGGAAATTGAGCAGCCAGGATATGAACTGGCATCCATATGGGATCCCAGCAGATCCAAGGCAAGAACTTAGCCACTAAGCCATTGCACCAGGCCCAGTAAGTAAATCTTTTCAAAATAAACTATTGCTTTTTTAAAAAAAAAGAAAATGCATCCTTAAGATACGAGAGGTACAAGGTTTTCTTCTTAAATAAATTGCCAACAAATGTGTGCTAAAGCTGCCAGCAATTTCTGATAGAAACTGAAAATATGTAGCAAATGTTAACGATTCTCAGAGAAAGATACCTGCTCATCTGCTATTTTGATGAGAAAAAAAGATATATATATTTAATAAATGTCTATAAAGATGAAATAAAGAAAAAATATTTAAACTATAAATCTCACAAATGGTGTCTGAGTGGAAATAAGTTTTGGTTTATGAGGTTATGTTACAGTCTGCTTCCCATGCAACATATTTAGTGCTACTCAGATTTATTTTTGCTTCTGGAGAAGATAGTTTCTTCCAGCTACAAATACCAGCTCAGTGTTGCAGGAAAAAACTAAAGCCAGGCTAGGTACATATTGCTTTACGTCTGAGGAAGTCCTACTCACGCGGTGGTGGTCTGCATGTCGTGCCAGCTTTTGCTGAAGTTCTGTTTCAACTCATTCATCAGATTCATGCCGAGCTTTTGTTTTATTTCAACCAGGTGCCTTTCTTTCGCGGACAACACTTGTCGTAACGTAGTGATTTCGTCTTCCAGCTAGACATAGGAGGGAAAATGATGAGAAGTCAGGTCAGAGCAGCTGGCAAAGTCCATCCCCTGGAGCGCTTTGTGCCCCAAAGCACATGCTGCATCCATTAGCTTATACAAGCACATGTTTGGCTAAACCAAACATGGCCCAGGATGAGACAATGCTAACATTGTAGCTAAACAGAACAGTTAGTTTAATGGCTCATAAGAGTAATAAGTGGTAGTTATTTAAAACAAAAATCATATGTCAAAATATAAACCAAATAAACATTACCTGTAACCCAAGAAATGATCACTTCATAAAAATTTATTTCTAACTGTTACAGTTTGAATGACTGCTCCAAAGCTCATGCTATATTTTAGTTGACATTGCAACCTTATTAAGGAAGGATCTTGCAGAGATGCTTGGAATCAATGAATTAAAGACAGAGTAGTGCTGTTTTTGCGGCAGTGAATGTGTTGTCTTGGAGTGAGTTCCTGACACAAGAATGAGTTCTGCCTGTCCTCTCCTTCTCTCCCCAGCAGCTAAGCAGACCCTCGCTAGACGCAGCTCCTGGATGGCAGACTGGCCAGCTTCCTGAATCATGAACCAAATAAACATCTTTTATTGTTTATAATTTATCTAGTTGCTGGTATTTTTGGAGACAGCAACAGAAAATGAATGGAGACACTAAATGTCCAAATGTTTTCCAAATGTTGGATGCAATATTTGAACAAAAATAGGTTTTTTGTTATAGTTTTATTATTTTATTATTTATTTGAAAGTCAGAGAGAAAGAAGAAGAGCAAGAGAGATGGAGTGACTCTTCAGCTGCTGGCTTATTTGTTGTTGTTGTTAAGAAAACTTCTTGAGCTGGGCATTGCAGCACCCTGGGATGCCCACATCCCATATTGGAGTGGCCATTGCAGTCCTCCTTCTCAGGTTCCAATTCTACCTGTTAGTGCACCTGTGAAGGCAGCAGATCAAGGCCTTGTGTCTGGGTCCCAGTACCCATAATCAGCCTGGTGCAATCTCAGCAATATCGTAGTGGTAGAGAACCAGCAGGTGGATGATCTCTTTCTCTGTCTCCTTTTCCCCTCATTTGTCTGTTACCTTGACTTCCAAATACATAAATCTATTCCAAAAATTGCTACTGAAATTCACATGCAAGACTTTTAAAGGGCATATTTCCTTTTACTCCCATGCTACAGAAAAGTACATTTCTTCAGCAAGACAAAATTATTCTTGCACTCTCTTACAAAAAAGTTCTGTGAAATATCCAGATTTTAATGAATTATCGCTTTAGCCTATGAAAATTGCTTAGATTACCACAAAATTTTTATTTTAACTGACTGTCATACTTTAGAATGTATTGTTCTATAAACAGTATTTAACTTTACTTCTTCGTTTTCAGAATGGATGGAAGATTTGAGACCTTTCTTGATAAGTTTGAAAAAAATCACTCAGACTCCCATGCCTGGAGGCTGTCAACATCTGCCATGTATTGGATTTCTCATTGCAAAACAAAAGCCTGTAGCAGATGAGTCTCATTTACACTCCCAGGGTCACCCCACTTCGGACCACAAAACGCCATCACTCACTCTGCTAGTCATTTTACAAATATGTTCCTAGCATTACCAGAGATAAAATTCCTAGGAAAGTGTTGAGACAAGTGTCTTCTGTTACGACGTAAGAATAATTTTACCAACTCTAGGAAGCCTTACTGATGGTGAATCTTTAGATCCACAATAACCACTTTGGCAATGCAGGCAGAAACATTGAATTGGAACAATAATTGGGGTTTTGCTATTTGTAAAATTCTTAACATGTTAACATAGTCTGTTTACGTTGCTGCAGCATTTTGTGTATGTTCATGGAAATTTTTCTAAAACATAAGAAGGATTATGCATTGCGTTAACAAGGCACAATCAGCAGAACTCTGTCTTATCCTGATGAAGCCAAGTCAGCAGTGGGCCCCCACACACTGGCAACTGCAACAGCATACTCAGAACCACCAAAGGAACAAAGCTAAGTGAGAGTACAAATTAAACCCCAACATTCTTTTGTTAACATGCCATATTATAACATTTCATCTTGGTTTGTGTGTCCTTCTGCATTTTTCTCCTGTCTGGTATTTCTCATGGTGGGTTTGGCATTGTGATATAGCAGATTAAAGCTTTACCTGTGATATACCAGCATCTTATACTGCAGCACCAGTTTAAGTTCCTGCTACTCTACTTTCAATCCTTCTCTCTGCTAATGCACCTCGGAAAGCAGCAGAATATGGCCGAAATACTTTGGACCCTGCCACCAAATGACAGGTCTGGATGGAGTTCCTGGATGCTGGCTTCAGCCTAGTTCAGACCCTAAGGGATATAGTCTATTGGAGAGTGAACCAGCATATAGATTTCTCTCTCTTTTTCCTTTCTCCCTCTCTTGCTTTCAAATAAATAAAATAAAGTTTGCAAAAAATATTCTCTTGGAGAGAATTAAGATAGTGGAATAGGATGAGGACATATTAAAACAGACAGCGAAACATTAGCCAGGGTGAAGCAGAGAGAGCACATTCCAAGAAATAGGACAGGACAGACCAACAGCAGAGGGGCATCTGGAAACTGATGGACACAGGAAAGCAGCAGAAAAAAACCGAGGTGGTGTTGCAATGACCAGACATTCCAACAGCATTTAGCCAGTGGCCAGAACTCTATCAGCAACCAGGTGGGATGGGGAGTTGACTAGGATCTCAGGAGGTGAACCCAAAGAACTGCCCATCCTGCTGGTTTGTTTGATTTTACCAGGAGCAAAGACAGAGCAGTATACACCAAACAGATGGTGCAGGAACAGGGTGGATTTCACTGCCTGGAGCTGCCTGGATTTCACCTAGAGCTGAATCAGGTGCCATCTTGTGCAGGGAAGCAAAGGCTATGGGACAGGACTGCACATGCACTAACCTGGGAGCAAACTCATTCCGTGCTCAGTGAATTGCAACAACGTAGCATCCTACAGGTTCCACCCAAAATAGATCTGGGTAGCATCTAGACCTAATGACCAGCAGATCCAGAACTCCAGCAATGGCATATCAGGTGCCATTTTGTACAGTGTGGCAAAGGCTTTGAGACTACAGGGACAACAGTGAGTTGTGCATGTGCCGAGCAAGGAACAAACTTATCAAGCTCGGTGCAATTGCCCTAGTCCCACAGGAAAAAAAATGTCAACTTTGGCATCTTACAATTTAAGATTGGTTCGTACTGCCCTCAGACCTAACAGTCAGCAGGTTCTGGTAAGATCAGCACCACCAACAACCTAGCTATTTAGGACATCTGGTGCCTCCCTAATCCTAGGAACGTGTGATCCATAAGTGGGAGAAATGTACAAACAATGGTGCAACAACAGCATGGGATCACAGCAGGTAGAGTGCTGAGTCAGAAGCTGGGGCTATGGAGATCATTGTAGAAGTCTAATATGAGAGCCCAGATCTGAAACTTGGTGGAGGGAGTGGCACAAGTGGCTGCAAAGAACCGGGTACCAACCACAATCAGTAAAATTGAATTGTAGACCTGTAGGTGACACAGCTTAGAAACCTGGTCTAAGGAGAAGAATTTACTAACCAAAAATACAATAACCAAGAGCAAAAGAAGAAACAAAGGCACAGTGAATATGACTGAAGACTCCCTGCAAACGAGCAACAGCCTCTACCACCCTCAGACTAAACTGAGGAAGACATCAAGAAAATGGGGGATACAAAATTCAAAATATTTCTTATAAAGCTTCTTATCAACAACGAGAAGCACATGAAGGAATTTTAAGGAATATGTCACACAGGAAATAGCAACACTGAAACAAAATCAAGCTGAATTATTGGAAATAAAGTACACAATACAGCAAATTAAAAATTCAGTGGAAAGTTTCAATAATAGAGTGAATGAGGCAGAAGAAAGAATCTCAGAATTGGAAGATACTTCTTGTCACAATGGGGAAACAATCCATGAGTTGGAAGCAGAGCTGGGTCAAGCTAAAAAATAGTATTCAGGAATTAAGAGACATTGTTAAAAGGCCAAATGTAAGAGTTATGGGAATTCTAGAAGGCACAGAAAGAGAAGCTGGGTTTAAAAATGTATTTAATAAAATAATAAAGGAAAACTTCTCTAATCTGGAGAAAGAATTGGGAACAACATTCAGGAGAGGTACAAAACTCCCAACAGGATTGACCAAAAGTGTTCTTTACCAAGACACATAATAATCAAGCTCTTGTCAATCGAACATAAGGAAAAGATCCTCAAATGTGCTCATGAAAAAAAAAATCAATTGACATAAAGAAGAATGGCAATTAAATTCACAGCTGGTCTCTGATAGAAATCTCTACGCACCAGGAAAGAATGGAGAGATATATTCCAGATTCTAAAAGAAAAAAAAAAAGTTGGCCCAGAATAACGTATCTAGCAAAGCTTTCCTTCGTCTTTGAAAATTAAATAAAATTCTTCCACAATAAAGAAAAGGTAAAAGAATATGCTTCTTCCAAACCTGCCCTACAAATGATCTAGAACAAGGTGTGCAGGCAGAGTGACAGATAAGAAGGAAGTTGGGAAGTGGGAGGCAATGGGCTCACCAAGAAAAGGAAAAAAAATCAAAGGGGAGACACCATACCTGGCACACCTGAGACCAATTTGCAGCAAAGCAAACTTTTTTTTTTAAAGGCTTTTTATTTATTTATTTATTTTACAAAAAGCCTTGCTGTTTGTCATTGGCTCATGGCCACATCAATGTGTCTGACTCGAAGGCGGCAATGGAATAGGCTGGTTCCTGAAGTACCTTGGGATTCAAGTGGTAGAAAGACACAGCAGGCTCTTCCCTGAGACACAGAGAGGAGCTGCTTGTGAGCTGGGGTCCAGAAAGAATGTAGAATGGAGACAGAAGAACCAAGCTATTCTAGTTCTTCATTCAACAACAAGACAATTGCCTAGGATGGGGGTGGTTGATGGCACAGTATGCTAGTCTTCCACCTGCAAATGTGCATTGGTGCATACGCATACATCCCCAAATCCTGAAAACTTAAAGGCATTTTATTGCAGTTTGACTCGCTGAACTAGCACTATTCTAGCTTAGCGAGTTATATTGGTTAGTTAGATTAGTCTACAGAACATAGATTTTGGATGCAATTATATCATGAATCAGAATTTCAGGCTGCAGGATATTCAGCTACTTCAGCATCTGGTAAAGCTCTTTGGTCAGTGTATTCTGATATGTGTGCCAATCCAGCTAAAGATCCAGTTAAAAATCCAGGCTATGTGACTTGAGGCACTATGCCTCAAATTGTTTTCGGATGTGCTGCGGAAACAAGCTGCTCTTTTATTGAAAGTGGAATTATTTTGAAGCCAAGAACAGAAAGACAAATATGCCATTACCCCACTTACTTTGGGACCCTAAAAAAGTTGATTGCATAAAAGTACAAAGCAGACCAGTATATACCAGGAGCTGGGCAGGAGAGAGGAGCGCCTGGCCAACTGGGAACAAGTTTATAGCTAATCAGAATAAGTCCTGGTGTTCTATTTGCACAGCAGGGTAACTATAGTCAACAGTATTCAATCTCAATATTTTAAACAACTAGAAGAGGGTTGGCATTGTGGCATAATGGGTAAAGCTGCTGCCTATGATGCTGGTATCCCAAATAGGCATCAGTTCCACTTCCGAACCAGCTCCCTGCTAACAGCCTGAGAAAAACAGCAGAAAATGACCTAAGTGTTTGGGCCACACCCCCATTTGGGAGACTCAAATGAGGCTGAGGACTTGCTGAGGCAATCTGTGAAGTGAACCACAGATGGAAGATCTTTCTCTCCATGTTTGTGTCTCTTTGTGTCTGTAACTCTGACTTTCAAATAAATAAATACATACTTTTAAAGATTAAAAAATAAAACAACTAGAAAAGACAATTTTTGAATGTCTCATAAAGAAATGACAAATATATGAGGTGACAGATGTTTTGTATGTTGGTTTGATAACTATAAAAGGTATGCATGAACCAAAACATTGCACTATATTCTATACATAAGAATGTACAGTTATTTGTCAATTAAAATAAAAAAAAATCTTTAAACAATTTAATCAAATATATCTTAGTACTGTTATGAGTTGTCAGAAACACACTCTCAAAGCGCTAGACTTGAGTCGAAATTGAACAAGGATATGGCATTAACGTGGAATACAAACTGCGTCCTCCGCAGCCTGCGGCAGGCCTGAGCAGAAAAGATTTGCTGCCAGAGGGAACAGGGGCTGCTTACCCTGTAGGCTGGGACCCACAATGAAGAAAGGCTGGTCTCTGCTCCCCTGCTCCTGCTGTCTCATTTGGTTTGGGCAGCCTTTCCCCTGAGAAAGTGAAGGGCTGTTGGCTGAGTGTGCATAAGGTTGAATGTGTTCAAGACTGAGTGAGGGATCTGGCACGGTGGCCTAGCGGCTAAAGTCCTCCCCTTGAATGCACTGGGATTCCATATGGTCGCCAGTTCTAATCCCGGCAGCTCCACTTCCTATCCAGCTCCCTGTTTGTGGCCTGGGAAGGCAGCCAAGGACAGCCCAAAGCTTTGGGACCCTGCACCCGCGTGGGAGACTTGGAAGAGACTCCTGGCTCCTGGCTTTGGATTGGCACAGCACTGGCCATTGTGGTCACTTGGGGAGTGAATCAACAGACGAAGGATCTTTCACTCTGTCTCTCCTCCTCTCTGTATATCTGACTTTGTAATAAAAATAAGTAAATCTTACAAAAAAAGACTGAGTGAGTAGGCTGAGTGTGTGCACAAGGCTAAGTGTACAGGTTGAGCATGAAAAGCTTGAGTGTGCACAAGATTGAGCATGTGCAAGAGTGAGTGTGTGCAAGGCTAAGTGTGCACAGGTTGAGTGTATATAAGGCTGAGTGTGAGAGGCAGAGTGTGCACCATGAACAGGCATGAACACAGGGCTGCCTTCATGACTGAGTCCTGCATCTGCTTCCTTGCAAGTCCACATCCTGTGTACAACACCACAAGATCCACTAGGCCTCAGTTAATCATAACTTTCCTCTCCACCCTTGAGCTTAATTCTTCTGCAGAAGGGCTTACTCATTTGCTTCTCTGATTGGCTTTTTCATTAAACTCTCTTTAATGTGCTTGTTGAGCCAAGATGCTGAGATAAAAGATGAACCACTCTTTAAACAGAGCCTGCCTTTATACCAGGGTCTTGAACGGGCTCCATCAAGTGTGTAAGCAATTTACTACTCCCAGATATCAGAAAAAAAATGAATAGTACATCTTGAAAGCTACTAGTAATTACTGCTTAAGCAGACCAAGCACTTATTTTACCACTGTAGCCAACAGTAATATTTAGCATTACAAAAAATACCTTGGAAAAAATGAATCATACTACAATGCACTCATTCATTAAATTTTATTAAATGCAACTGCATCATGTGACTTATTTCAAACTAAGAACAACCTTCAAGATGCAGAGGTGGAAAGAGCATCAAGTTTAACTAAACATACCTGGACTAATTCTGCCTTTAGTTCCTCCTTTTCCTCCTCAGAGAGCATGCTAGAGAAGTCAGCACTGGCTACTGTGTCTTCATCTCTTCCTTGTAATGGATCAGTCTCCAACAAACCTTAAGGCAAAATATACAAAACATGATGCATTTTTTATAACAAATTTAGCTAATTTCTTTCAAAGCTACATGGACTAAATACACTGACAAACTTTTCTGCACTAAGCAGAATTTAGCTCCCCAAACTCATGCAGATGTGCAAATTCTGAAGGGCTGTGTTCGCAGTTGGTAATTAAGGGTGGACACTTGGTCTAATTATACCATCTGAGTAGAGGGACCTACAATAGATCTTTAGGTTTTTGGGACATGCCCTGAGAGGGCAGTTTTTGCAGATGTAGGTGGTTAGTAATGTAAACTGAGTTTGGCCTAGCTCCTTCTGCTCCCTACTCACCATGCCATGCTTCCTCCACACACACACACACACACACACACTACCAGGCACAGACTCCATCAGATGCCACACTCGTGGAGCCACCCAACCACAACTTTCGAACCATGACCTGAAATACATTTCTTCCTTCCCAAGCAGCTCCTTTTGGGTATTACACCGTAACAAAAGTCTGATTTACACAGTGACTCTCCATTGAAAAAATAAAAAGTAAAAACAAAATGTTTCCTGAATGTGTGAGTTGCTACAAGAAGGAACATCAAGAAGTCAAAGAACCAAGTGACAGGTGGGTGGGCCTTTGGCTTCACAGGTAAGATGCTGGTTAAGACGTCACACCCCCTACCAAGGTAGCTGGGTGCCATCCCTGGCTCCAATGAGCTCCTCAATTCAGCTTCTTGCTAGTGCAGACTTACTTAGGAGAGTCAGAGATAATTCAAGTAACAAGGTCCCTGCCATCCACATGGGAGGTTTGACCTGAGTGCTTTGTGCCCAGCTATGGCTGTAACCACACACCATTGCAGGCATTTAGGGGTAATCCCTCTGTCTCTCCCCCATGCCATAAAAATAAAGTGACAAATGGACACCTGAGACATAAACAAAACAACCTTTCAAATGATTCTCTATCTGTCACACAGGTGTATTCCTGATTTAATTTGTACTCTCTTATGGGATTTAAGAAGAACTAAGGGGAACAGTTGAATTTGGCATCCGTGCACAGGGCTACACCTGGGAGTCAAGGAAACGAGAGGGTAAATACTTTTTTCCTGTTCCTGGGTTGTGGTTAAGCTTCTGCCTGAAAGTTGCCATCCCATATGGGAGCACCAGTTCCTAGTCTGTGTGTGAGTGTGAGTGTGAGTGTGTGTGTGTGTGTGTGTGTGCCCTTATGTCACTGTAACTGCCTTTCAACTAAAGAAATAACCTTGTAAAAATGTAAGCCTATCTCTTACTAAATTCTTCACTGACTCAGAAGTCATACAGTAGCATCATTTTCTCCAAGGTTTTTAATTTTTAATTTTTAGCAACACAATGGTCATTCAGTAGCATGCCATTTAATTTCACGTTGTAAATTTTCTTTTTCTTCTGTTGTTTACTTTGTTTTATGGCTTTTCCTTTAACAGAATGTATAGTAACCATGCAATGGAGGCTATCATGTAGCATGCTTCTCCACTTCCAAATCAAAGATGGACTTCCAATGACACTGTTGGTTACATCTTGACATTATGGTGCTGGACTCTCTGCCATTGTCCATCCCTACAATGCCATGATACACTAAAATAGCAGAGTGATGGACTTATAACTGTTAATGAAGGACTATGCTATTGTAAAGGTATGGGGAAATCAGTGGAGTGGAAAGGGGATTTGGGGAAGCGGTAAGGGAAATCCGAGAACCTATGGAATTGTATGATAAAATAATTAAATGTTAATTAATTAATTTTTTAAAAAGATTTTTATTATTTTTTTTATTGGAAAGGCGGATATACAGAGAGGAGAGACAGAGAGGAAGATCTTCCGTCCAATGATTCACTCCCCAAGTGATGCCGATCCGAAATCAGGAGCCTCTTCTGGGTCTCCCACACAGGTACAGGATCCCAAAGCTTTGGGCCATCGACTGCTTTCTCGGGCCACAGGCAGGGAGCTGGAAGGGAAGCGGGGCTGCCGGGATAGAACCGGCGCCCATATGGGATCCCGGGCATGCAAGGCGAGGACCTTAACCACTTGCGCCACCGCGCCGGGCCCAATTAATTAATTTTAAAGTGAAGGTATAAGCCCAGGGGCTGGCATTGTAGTAAAGAAGGTAAACTCATCACCTGCGATGCTGCCATCCCGTATAGGTGCTGTGTCAAGTCCTTTCTGATTCACCTCCAACCTAGCTTTCTATTAATAATTTGAGAAAAGCAGCATGGAGCTGGTGCTATGGCCTAGTGGGCTAATCCTCTGCCTGTGGCACTGTACCTCATATGGGTGCTGGTTCATGTACCGGTTGCTCCACTTCTGATCTAGCTCCCAGCACATGGCCTGCAAAAGCACTAGAAGATGGCCCAAGTCTGTAAGAGATCTGGAAGAAGCTCCTGACTCTCAGCTTTGGATCAGCTCAGTTCTTCTTGTTGCAGCCATTTGGGAAGCAAAGCAGCAGATGAAGATCAATCTTTGCTTTTCTCTGGATAAATCCTCATTTCAAATAAAAATAAATAAATCTTTGAAAATAAAGAAATAGAAAAAAAGTAGAAAAGGAAGGAAGGAAGGAAGAAAGAAAGAAAGAAAGAAAGAAAGGGAGGAAGGAAAGAAGCAAGCAAGGGAAGGAGGAAAGAAGGAGAAACAAAGAAAGGAAAAACAGCAAAATATCAAAAGATGATGGTTCGTTTGGTACCTGTTACCCTCAAGGGAAAGACTCATCTGAACTCTGGGTCTCTGTGGTTGGTCTGGCCCATCCCTGGCCTTTATGACCATCTACAGAGTGAACCAGCAGATGGAAGATCTTTGTCTCCTCTATTCTGTGTGAGTATGCATCTCTACGTGTTTCTGTCTCTTCTATGTCTCTCTCTGTAACCTTGTCAAATTAATTGATTTTTTTAAAAAGTAAAGCCATTCACAAGTAAATGTTACAGATTCTTGTGGTTTTGCTTGTGTTTGTTTTTTAAAGATTTATCTATTTTTATTACAAAGTCAGATGTACAGAGAGGAGGAGAGATAGAGTGGAAGATCCTTCGGCTGTTGATTCACTCCCCAAATGACCACAGTTGCTGGAGTTGAACCGACACGAAGCCAGGAGCCTCTTCCAAGTCTCCCACACAGGTGCAGGGTCCCAAGGCTTTGGGCTGTCCTTAACTGCATTCCCAACCCAAAGGCAGGAAGCTGGATAGGAAGCGGGGCTGCTGGGACACGAACCGGTGCCCACATGGTATTCCGACATGTGCAAAGTGAGAACTTTAGCCACGTGTTTACCACACCAGACCCTGCTTTTGTTTATTTTTAAAAACAATAGGGACCTCATAGGGACCTGTAAGGAAGAGTGCCCATGTTGAAACTCAGTAGTGAATGAGCAGATTTAAAAACTTCTCTCCTTAGAACCCATAGCGCTGAATGGAGCTGTAGGTGAGCATGTCTGCAGAACACACACTGCTTAGGGGGTGCGCAGGCACTTTAAATCAGACTCTGAGATAAGAGGGCCTTTGCCACTTTGGACATGAAGTGGCTACAGCCTGAAAAAACATCCTACATACACAGTGCTGGAAGTGGATGACATGGGCAAGGTCTGGGTTCTTGATGTCACTGTCATGCAACAGAAAAACCGTCAAATAGCTCATGTTGTAATATCATGAGAAACTATGTGAAGCATGGCCTGGAAGAGCCTTGGCATCTGGCCTATTGTCTGTTCCCTGGAGGATGCATGAAGTTGCCCACGCATCAGTGTCATGTAAGTTACAACTTGCAGCAAAGCTGGCATTCGAACAACTGTGAGGAAAAGATCCTTTAATAAAGTGTCCGAAAATAGTTATCCACATAGAAGTAGCTAAATTAGCATTTTACACCTTTCATGGGGTCAAAACTTTGAACATTTTAGAAGACAATCTAGAGGGCTTTATATTTAAACCTCTGTGTGGGAAGAGATTTCTTATCACTCAAATAGATGCAAATCATGAATGAAAGAATGATAGGATTATGACTTTCCTTTCATCAAGCAATCAAATGGAAATGAAATGATAAGCCACTATCTGGAAGGCAGTATATGTCACATGTACAAATACCAGAAGAATCATTCCCAAAATACGCAGAATCCCCACAAACCAATTTTAAAAACAGAAATAACCCAACAGAAAGTGTAAGCCAATTATTTCAAATGACCTTTTTGTAAATATAAACCACAAATATTTAATAAACCTTAGAAAACATGCTCAATTTTATTGTTCAGAGAAATACTAATTAGATCATTTCACTCATTTCTTATCATCACAATCATGGAGTGTTAAGGCTTGGAAGCTATTCTCCCTGAGGCTCATGTACTAGAGGCTAGATCTTCACTGTGCTTATGCCAGAAGGTAGAACCTTATACTTCAGAATCAAGGGGCAAGCAAAAGAGGAGTTGGATGAAAAGTTAGCCAGAGACCAGGATTAAGGTGCTGCAGCCGAAATCAGCACTCCCATACTAGAGGGCTGATTCACTCCCAACCGCTCTGTTTCTAATCCAGTCCCCTACTCTGTCTGCTAAGGCACTTGGGAAAGCACCAGACTATGGTCCAAGTGCTGGGGTCCCTGCCTTCACGAGGGAGACCTGGATGGAACTCCTGGCTCCAGGCTTCCCCCTAGCCCAGCTCCAGCTCCTGTGGGCCTTGGGAAACTGAACTAGTAAAGGAAGCACTCTCTCTGGGTTTTTTTTTTTTTTTTTTTTTGTCACTCTTCGAAATAAATAAATCTATTTGAAAAGAAAGTAATTCACCAATATTCCCCAACAAAAATAAGTCAACACCAAAAGGGGGTAGGGTAAGCACCAAGTTAAAAATTACAAGTGACAGATGATAATGTGAGAAGAGTAATAAAATAAAAGCAAATTGCCTAGTTACCATGGAAATAGGTATTAGAGAAGAATAATAACATGCTTTTAATGCACACAATTATCAGTGAGCAAAATTACTAAAGAATCAGTTTTTGTAAAGCAGATTCCACTGTATTAGGA